AAAAAAAAAAAAAAAAAAAAATAGTGTTTGAAATTATAAGCCATATAAGTGAGCTGACAACTCCATAGGACAGTGCAGGGGTGGTGGTTTGTATCCTTAAGAAGTTCTTTGTTGCATTGTTCTATTCCCCCTTCCTGAAATTCCAAAATTGGTAAATGCAAAGGGCTTAATAGTGGTAGTGGGCTTTTCTGGATATAATTGTTGAAATTAACTTTATAAAAACGTAGTTCATTTGCTTAAAGACTACATGTGCCAGCCATTAAATGATGACTTTTCTGAGCACTTTTGTAAATTTTGCCTCTTTCTACTATTGTCGCTAGTTCCGTGTAAATGAGTTTGGCGCCTTGGAAGTTATTACAGATGAGAGTGAGATGGAAAATGTTAAAAAAGCAACAGCTACCACAACTTGGATGGTACCAACTGCTCAAGAAGGTAAGAACAGGTCATCTGCATTGTCCTTTCTTTTTTTTTTTTTTTTTTGAAGAGTTTTAATGTAAGAATATCTAAGGTTTTATAATAGGCTGGAACTTTGAAAATCCTGGGTGATCTTTGTGTCACATATTCTTAGGTAAATTTCTATGGCGAAACTAATATGGAACCAGCTTTTATATTTTAAAATAACTATAAAGTGTCTTCTTTCTTTATGCCAGATCTGTCATAGCATAAGGTTAATTGGAAATTATCAAGTAAATCCATGTTGTAATAGCCTACCCAGGTGATTTAGCCAAAAGCCTGCCACTTTTTTCTCATCTACTCCGATGGTTGTAACTAACACCTATATGCTGATGACTCCTAAATCTATATCTCCAGCCCCGACCTCTCCCCCGAGCTCCAGGCCCGTATTTCCACCTGCCTACTGGACATCTCCACCTGGATGTCCCACAGGTACCTCAAACTCCACATGTCTGAAATGCGATTCATTTTCTATTTCTTTCTCCCCTCCCCCCAACCTGCTTTTTCTTCTGTAGCCCGTAATATCAATTGATGGTAGCACCATCCACCCAGTGGACAAGCAAGAAGTCTAGGAGTCATCCTGAATTTGTTCTCTCCCAGCCCCATAGCCTGTTACCTAATCCTCTTGGTTTTTATTTCCTAAATACATCTCAGATCTGGCCTTTTCTACCTATTATCACTGCCACTGCCTTAGTTTAGGGCCTAATCACCTCTCACCTGAATTACTGCAGACGGGCTCCTAAAGAATCACTCTGCTTCTGATTTCCCCCAATTTATCCCGCACACCGAAGTCAGAGGAACTTGTGTAGATTGCTTATCTGACACTTCACCAACTTCTTATTGTCTCTTTAGCAAAACAGACAAAGAACTGGGTGACCCGCACCCACCTGCTTGCTTTGTGTCTTTGCTCTCTGTTCTGTTCTTCGTATGCTGTGTTCTGGCAGGGCCAGCAGCACTGAATTACATAAAATTCTCCCAACATATCATGCGGTTTCATACTTTCTTGCCTTTTGTGCTCATGCTGTTTCTTCTGGCTGGGATGCTGTTTCTCTCTTTGTCCAGTTGGTAAATTCCTCTTTGGCCTTCAAAACCCTGTTGAGGCTTTATATCAGAACATCTTTCCTTGCCCTCCCCCCGGGCCGGATGAGTCACTCCTTCCTCTGTGCTGCTTCTGGAACTTGTTCATGCTTCAATTATTGCATGTATCACATTTTATTATAAATATTGGTTTTCTTGTCTGTCTTCTCTTCTAGACTGTGAGCTCTCTTGGGCAAGGTCTATACTGTCATCAGTGTCTAGCGTAAATTGGTGCCTAATAAATGTTTGCTGAATGAATGATTAGCCTAACGATTCAAGCAAAAGCAAATAATTATGATTTAGGAGATCTTCTGCATTAAAAGTAAAATAGAAAGATGTTGATTCAGCCCATTAAGTAAAAGAGTCACTCATCAAAAACACGATATAACATAGATAACCCTTTTAAAATTTTGTCAGAAAGATACAGCTGTATAGGATTCTATGGATGGTTGGTTTCATCTTCTGAATTTAGTGACTAATGAAATTTTCTTCGTTTTACTTTGAACTCTGTAGAAAAGGCCTTGGACAAGCTTTTGTTTACCTTTTCTGAAGAATTTTTTTGTGTGTTATGTAAATAATTTGAGTGATTCCTGTCAAGCCCATCCTCTTCTCCCTCCCAAGTGCTGTGTGGTTTGATCATTCATTCATTCATTCAACAAACATTATTCTTTTATTGTGTTGCTAACAAAATTATTAGAAGAAAAAGTCTAAATGTGTTTTGCAATGATTTCTGTCGCGGTTTTAACTTTTTTTTCTTCTTTTCGTCTTCTAGTCTTTTCCGAGAAGACTGGGATGCCTTTCAGGTTGAAGGAGCCAGTGAAAGTCGAAGGGCTTCAATTCTGTGAGAACTGTTGTCAGTATGGCAACGTAGATGAGTGTCTTTCTGGAGGAAACTATTGCAGCCAGAATTGTGCTCGGCATATCAAAGACAAGTAGGTTTTTGCCCCCATTCCATCTATAAAATGAGTTTTAGAGTCCAAGGGCCTGGTGCTTGGGAATACAGAGGTTTTGTGCTCTCTGATGTCTGTCATCCAAAAATACCTTTTTTCCCCCAGAGACTTTCCCCTTGGAGACACTTGGACCCTGATCCCACTACTGGACTGGTGTCTTTGGTCATGTCTGAACTGAGTTGTGCTGTTCACGTCCTAGCTGCAATACAACCTCTGCCTCTTTCTTTAGCCTTTTGTTTACATTAATTTTATTGCTCCCCAGCCAAGAGTATTTAGATTTCTTTGGGCTACATACACATTTTAATGATACTCATGTTTGTGGAAACACAATTTTGTTTATATTTTGGGAGGTCTTAGGTAATTCAGCTAAAACTCCACAAATGGACCGAAGCTTCGCCTGACTGAGAATCCGCTGAATGGCCATAGTGAGTAGTGTGGTAGTTGTGTTACTGCTGATCTCAGGATGGACTGAGGATTCAGAGTCAGGGCCGTCAGCTGTGACTGACGGTAGTGTGACTGCCATTGGGAACTGTCACCAGCAAGGTGTATTTCCTGTATATACTTGTATACTACAAATAAATGACTTGGCATTTATGTTTGAGTGGAGTTTCCCATGTGTTTCAGTCAGAACAGGCTGGAGAATTGTCTGTTTTCGTTAGCCACCTGATGTTTTACAAAGTTACACTTGGCCTTTTTCAGTTGGACTTGGCATTCTTAATAATTGCTAGATCCTTGCTTTAAAATTGCCCCTGAAGACTAGAATATCTCTAAATAATCGATTCTTTCATTAGTATGGATGGCAGCTGTGGAAGACAAATAATTTTGAACTTGTTAGAACCTGTTTCACCTGTAGTGCTGGTGCCCTTTTAAAATTATATCATTAATTACATAATTACACTAATTAATTATATAAATTAACACGTAAGCCAATTTCCACTTTCTGTCTTGACAGTGTTATACATGAGGGTGGTTTGAAGTGTCTCTTATCTGTGATATGTACACCATTCTCCTGGTGGTTAAATATTTTTTTTTAATGAGTTTGGCATTGCTAATCAACATGCAGATATTTGATGGGTATTGTCTCCTGTCACTTTTTTGGGCTTATAAATTCAGCAGAGATCAGAAGGAAGAAAGGGACGTGGGAGAAGACAATGAGGAGGAAGATCCTAAGTGTAGCCGGAAAAAGAAGCCCAAGTTATCTCTGAAAGCGGACTCCAAAGAGGAGGAAGAGCGAGATGAGGAGACGGTTAGTACCCACAGGGCTGCGCCTTCGCAGGTAGCACCGCGGCCCGAGGCACTGGCTCTGGAGCCAGTTACCCGAGTTCACAGGTTGGTTCCGTGACCTTGTTTTACCATCAGGAGGTTACCCACCTACCCTCTCTATGTCACTGTCCTCATCTCAAGATGGGAGTTATAAATAGTAGTACCCCTTCCTCAGGGTGAAGAAGGGGGATGTTCTGGAATTTACTGCTGCAGTGAGAGAGGCACCAGGAGAACCTTCAGTTGCGCAGATGAATTTTAGATTCCTCTTGACAGCAAAATGCCAATCCCATTTTGGTAAATTGCAGACAGATCTCCTAAAACTACGTGAGTAGGTATGAAATGGCAGATGAATGTCAGGTATATTTAGCTAAAACTAATTCACAATGCTAATTAAAACATAAACATCCCCTCTCTAAAATATTTATTAGTAACTCTATATGAAAAGAGAGCTTTGAGGTCTCAAAGCATTTTCCTTAAGATCAATATTGAGCAACGATGATTGGCTAGTCACTGTTTTAGGAGTTGGGAATGCAGGGATGAATAAGACAGCAGGAAGACAGGGTTTCTTTTCTCAGGGACATTACATTCTTGTTAAGGGGACATAAAATTAACAAAGTAAACAGGGGAAATATCAGCCTGTGATGAGCGCTGTGCTGAGAATTACAATAGGGCATTAAGATGATCTGACTGCTTTAAGTTGGGTTATCAGGGAGGCCTCCTAGGGAGAGTGGCTTGGACAGTGTGATCTGAATGATAAGAAGGAGGCTGATGTAAAGTTGGGAGTGAGAGGCCCCGTGGGGCAGTGGAATTGCTAGGGAAAAGACCATAAGGTAAGAACCCGTGTGTGTCGCATGTTTTGTTTAAGGAAATAAAGAAGACAAGGTAGTTGAGCCTTGAGGACTAGGGGAGAATGGTGTAAGATGAGGCTGAAGAGTTCTGTGTGGTCCAGGGCTTTATGGTAAACCAGAGTAATGGGTTTTCACTTTATGCTGAGTATGATAGGAAGCCATTGGAAAGTTGAAGGCAGGGGAGTACTTTGATATGATTAATGTTTTTAAATGATCACTCTAGCTTTGACATGTGAGGGCAAGAGTAGAATCAGGGAAACCAGTTAGGAGTTTATTGCAGTGACTAAATAAGAGGGCTGTTTAAGATAGAAGTCGGTGGATTTGAGATAGATGCTAAAGGTAGGGTTGTCAGGGTGTGTGAGGGAAAGA